ACACACACACACACACACACTCCCTTTTATATACACCCCGGTCTCTATTTTCCCCCTCTCTCTGTTCCCCGACACAGTAATATGATCTCTTCTATCAGGCCAACAGAGCTGTGAATCTAAAGACACCGAAATATAACGCAAACCTTAGTGGCCCCGGCCCCACCCCCACTACTCTCTCTCTCTCTCTTTCATTCTCACTCTTTCTCTCCCCCTCTCTCTCATCTACATCATCCCTACCCCCAACAACCCTCCTACTACCTCTCTCCAGTCCCTACCCCCAACCACAGAGCTCTCTTGCTCACTCTCTCACACTCTACATCTCAGCCTCTCTCTCTCTGAAACAAATAGGCTCCCTGAACGACACAAGCATTTCTATGCTTCATGTTAGATTCACAGCTAAAAATCATCAGATTGATATATATTACTGATAGTTCAGTCTTTCACAGTGTTATAAGTTGATGTGATATTTGTGTTAATGCTCAACCAGCATGTTCTGAGGTCAAATTCCAAACTACATACTGCCTGTATGCAGTATTTACTACTAAGTGCATAGCTCTGCCAAGGCCAAACAATCCAACACATCTATCTAGTTGTTATAATAGAAAGATAAACACAAAAGGAAGTCTTTTCATGATCTGCACCAGACTGTAAAAACTTGTAGATCTCAACACCACAAATTTTATATTTTATATCCAGATCCAAACATTAGGACTTTTATCCCTCTCCAATTGTCAGCAGGATCACACAAAAACAACTACAGATTTTCACCAAACTTGGTGGAAGGATGGGACATGGGCCAAGAAAGAACCCATTACATTAGGCATTTTTTAAAATATATTTTCACATGTTCTCAGGGAATAATTCATGGATTTGATGAAAAAGGAATCCGGGCATATTAAGGAGACTCATATGTATGAGTGCATGAAATTTGGTCCAGATCACCTACAATCCAGATCATGTTAATTTCATAAGGAGACTGTTGAGCCTGGGAGGAGCATGCAGTCTACTAAGTGCCTAGTTTCAGTAGAATTATGAAAAATGCACAATCTCACAATGTGTCATAAAAAACAAGATCAACATCTTTAACCAGATCTCCACTAATTTTGATGCAAATCGTTTCTGTATATTTTGTGGGATCTTGCTGACAAATCAAACAAACCCAAACAGACACATGTGAAAACATAATGTTCTTGGTGGGGTTTGATAGTTGTCTTTTTTGTGATTCATATAGAAGAAATTCACATTTGCACACTGTCGCAGATCACACCATTCTAGAGCTGCTTCTACACAAGTTCTTTTTCCTTTTTTGTTTTTTTTCTTTGTACAGTAGTAGCATCTGTTTCCTATGTATATGGCAGTGTTGCAGACTTTTCTTTATTCCGCTAAAACAGTAGTTATAGAGTAACAAAACTGTAAGACAACAGGACATTAAAACATATACTACACACCCAAGAACCTGTTTAAAAGTACTTCTCAGTCGGAACTTGGATTGAATAAAAGTCAGAGTAAGATGTCTGGGTACCTTAGACACCTGCTGGCAGATGGGGTATTTGGGTAAAACTAAGTGTTGTTTTACCCAGCCACTACACCAGGCTGCTGCTGGGAGGTTAAACAGAGGAAAAACCAGCACATCCATGCCTCTGTAATTGCACGGCAGCATTACTGTTGACAGTTATTCTGAGACTCTGTTTATTAAGACAGTGACAGAGATGGTTTAAGATTTTAAGCACCTAGTTAAAGAACAGGAAAGATTGAGTATGTCACTGCAGTGTGAACACAGTAGAAGAGGTTAGCCCCTGGTTCACCTGGTAGTGTACATTAAATTAACCCTCTGGGCAATGATGAGAAGCACAACACATTTATACAGTCACATTTATATAAATATTATGTTCCTTTACATGCCGTAGCAACAAATGTACATGTACATAAAACTAATGACCTCACTGCGAATATTGTTAGTTAAGATTATTTTCATGAATTTAATTATTTTTACAAGAAAAAGTGAAAAGATGCAGCGTTCCATTTAATTGCACTTAGATTGAAGAGAGGTTAATTATCTGTCTTTAACTCTATTTGCTACACTCATCATCTGAACCTACTGAAATAATGAAGTCATTCATCACTGTCAAATGTGCAGGGTCTGTCACATGTGTAAGTTCGTCACATATCCAGACATGTTACTCTGAAAACAAACAAGCCTTCACATATATATTTTGTATATAGACATCTCTGACTATGTTCCTGAAGTGACTCTGACCCTGACCTTGCTCTCTGGAGGGAGAAAGACAACAGAGCATCACATACACCGATGTAGGTATCACAGAGCAGGTTTGATAGAGGAGCTGCTGTGAATTCTAGTGAACATCAACTGTTTTCCTCTGAACTCCTTTATTAATACTTACAACCTCTATCATATTTAAACCACTAGAAGTAAGTTTTAATCACAGTTGAGTGGAATTAGATCATGTGTATCATCTAGTGGGTGAGTGAGTGGCTCTGGTGTGAATAAAACCACTGAGGGGTTCAGTTACCTTCATTAGCTGCTTTAATTAACTGTCGCCTAATAAAGCAATTAATTATCACTTAATTTGAATGAGCAGGACAGAGGAATGCACAGTGACGCTGGTTAAAGTAGCACAAAGGTGACTATCATCACAACACAATAGGAAACAGACGTGGTTTCAGCAGAATGTATGCTTCTATCGTACCTGTCTTACCTTGTTGTTGCCAAAGGCCGGGTCAGGGTAGGAGAGCTGCCCGAGCCTGGCGTGGTTTGACACGGCCAGTGGCTGAGGAGGAGGCGGGTAAACTGTCACATCCATGGCTGACAATACATCCACTTCTCCACCGCTGAACTCTGCTTCCGAGTTTTCTTTCTTCTCTAACGGCAAAAAAAAATAACCTGCTGTCTATTTTATTTTTTCATGAAGTTATAGTAAGCTTGTCAGCGAGTCATGCAGCTACAACCACGAAATCGAGCGCGGGTTTCCAGCAGATGAAGCCGGTATAAAGCGAGCTCAAAGAGTCGCTGAAGTTTAGGCTGATGCTCTTCTCTCCACGCCGGCTATCATGCTCCGGTGGCCGCTGATCTGAGGGGCAAACTTCCCGATGAACGCACTTCTTTGATACGGACAGTGCGCTATAAAACCCACCGCTGCTTTGTCTCTGTGCTCACTAGCCGGTGCGTGTTTCGGATGGGACCCTGTCTGTCCTGTCGTGCCGCTCGGTGCTGCTCCACTGCCGCCGCGCGTCTGCTCCGTGCCGCGGCTCCTCCGGACCAGCAGGTATACAAAGGGCTGCTCCGTCAAGCCAGCGGCACACAGAGCGCGGCAGGGCCGGATGTGTGTATTCTCACAAAATAAAAGCTCGAGTTATGTCGGGAGGGAAAAAAATAAGAGCAGGGGAAGAACAAAGCGACTCAAACAAAGACGCTGAGGTCATCTTTTCATTAATAACGTAAGAAGCGCGTCTTTCAAATGTATTCGGAGGAGCCCTCCTCAGTGGGTGAGATTAGTTGTGATACTAAACTATCTTTTATTTCCAGAAGAGCTCAACAGCACAATGTACTCCATCTAGAGGTCTAGTTAGGGGTTAATGTTTCAACTCAATTGTTTATTATCTTATTGTATTATTCACATTTTTTTTATCATTTCCTGTCATTTTTCACATCTGTCTTTCTTTATATATGCTTGTAGTTTATTATTCATTTCAAATGAGAACAAGTCGCCTATATTGGCTTGGTTGTACAATATGGCTTGTGTTTTTGACATCTTGATCGTCAGTCAATGTTTTTATGGTTCAAAAGTCCACATTTAACAGTCAAAAATAAATAATAAGTGTATTGATGTGTATAAGTGTGCATCAAAAGGGGTTTGGTGTGTCTAAATCCTCAGTGACCATAAAAGTCCATGTGTGTCACAAACCCTTTGGTTATATGAATCCATGCAAATCCAGCATTCCTTGAACATGTGTGCCCCTGTTTAGTAATTAATAGTGATTCAAACAAATTACAGCACATTGTGGTCGATATTAATTGGGACAATAATACCACAGTGAACCTAGGGTTATGTACAGTGTAGTGGTGTGTTCTGTGGTTCAGATTTGTCTCTCCATCTATGCAGTGCTGTATCCCCTCTCCTTTATGCTGTGAAACCACATCACTTTCTGTGACAGTTGTATGTATAAACTATCATTTCATTTCCAGCCCAAGAGAGTCATTACTCAGAGAGTCAAACTTAACTTGTATATGATGTGAGGAAAGACACTGAGCAAGAGACTGGGCACTGTAAAGGGAGAGGAAGAAAATTGTTGTGATATATAATATATAATGCAGCATCGAAGAAAATGTCTGCCTGCAGGGAGCACTGACTGTAAACACTTTGATGGTCTAAAATGAACTCTGCTGTGTCCACAAAAGTGGCCTTTCTATCAGCTCCTGGTGAGTTGTTTGAAAGAAGCTGTAGAACCTTGTTGTTTGGGACAGTGGCCATTTACAAAGGCAGGAAAAAAACTAACTAGAAAACAGTTCAGACGAGGTGAGCTGCCTCCCATCTTTGCGCCTCTGGTGAAGGCCAGTGTTGATGATATGTCAATGGTGTTTCACTCGAGCCATCTGTGCTGTTGTTGAGGCGGAGCTTGGCTTTTACCCATTGTTTCTATGAGATATTTTTTATTTGAGCTGACTTTGGTTTGGGTTTTGACCATCGAGACATGACCAACAGTCTTCCAGCCCCCTCTGAAGATTTTCCACAGAGATTGTTTGTGGTTAGGGCAGTGTATAACTCTCCATACCAACATCAACAACAACAGCTGAAGGAACCATGCCATGGTATGTCCATGATTCTCCATTCAAATCTACTAGGATGTGCATAGCATTGGACTACATGGCAGTCAGTGGTTTGGTGTTTTGTCTTAAATCAGCAGGGCTTGACAGATGGTGAAACAGTTTCGGAAACAGGAAACCCAAGTGTCCTGACCAACAATCTGACTGGCCAGCTGTGAAAAGGGAGCCAGAAAGGAGTCTGGGTGTAAAATAACTAGTTACATACTTAACTTTGTCACTTTTTATTGGAACCATTGAATATAACACTATGAAAGCCGTAATGAGTACTGAAGTGTAAGCACTGCTAGTTAATTGATTATCATGTCTCTCCTCTCGAAAGGCTTTTCTTAATGCCTTCAGTGGGCTACAACTTTTGCCTTTTAAAGAGATTGGATAACAACTGGTTCTTTGTTTAAAGTTGATTTTCAAGGTAATTTTATGCTTTTTATTTAATAGCAACAATGAATACAGACAGGAAATATGGGGCTAGAGAGGAGGGGGGTGACATGTAGCTAATAATCCAGCCAAAAGGGAATAAAATCCTCATTTTCAAACAAGCCCAATCTGTTTTATAATGTCTTAATGGACCGATATGAAGAATATAGGAAAATCTATTGAGAAGAAATGGAATATAATATTCATAATGAGGTTTCATTTGTCTAAATTACTCTGAAAAAAAGAATTGCAGTGTAGAATAAACTTTTTAAATCTAAATAAACAGCAGCGGTTTCCTTCTATTGTGCCACGATGATTCTACAGAACTGGAGAAAGGACAAATGAAACACTGGCTCTATGGAAGGCCTTTTCTGTATTACACAAGGCCAATGTAGCTTCTCTTATGTGTTTGGAGGGGGGTATTTGGTCAGTAGCAATCTGCATCCTCACCACTCGATGCCACTAAATTGTACACACTTTGTGTGGGGTGACTCTTTTGAACTGATTGAATTGTTCGAATTCATTCCAATCAAATTAATGTTGTTGCAAAGAGCCCCGTGGAGCCCCGCCTGGGACTCATTTGAGTATAGAAACGTTATTTTTTAATGAAACAATTCCAAACTCTCTTTAAAAAATAAATCTCTATAATGACTTGCAACATCTTTCAGTCAAACAAACCAGGAAACAAAATTAAGTTCATGAAAAGATATAAATATGTTTTTATCCACTTGTGTTAAGTCAGAGGTTTGCTGAACAAATTAAGGGTGAGTCCTCATATCATCACCATCAAAGAAAAGAAAGAGGAAAGGGATCCACTTGAATCAGTAAATTCTGAAGGCAAAAAAGCTTTTTAATTTGCAGCAAAATTTAGAATTTAGGTAGACAGTTAATAGTATTTTATGTGTATCCCTTCAGTGAATTTCCAGATTGTCTTTTCTCTCCTGCTCGTCTAATAAGATTAAATCAGCTTGTGAAAAGTCAATCAAAAGGTCCTAATGACTTTAGAGAACAAGATAAGGTGTACATTATCACATGGGGCGGAGATACAGTAAATAAAACAATTCATGTGTGTGTCTGAAAGAAGAATAATTAGGCAATTCAATACAACCAGAGCAGATTCACTGCAGCTTTCTGTCCATACAAATGATCCTTAATGACAGAACACATCTCCATTATCTTCAAATAGATACAGTAGCAGATAAACAAAGAGATGCTCTCCCAGCCACACACACACACACACACACACAGATGTGCACATGCTGCTGATTTACACACACAGGCTACAGTTGACTATTATAGAAGTCATACTATTATATCATATATACCTGCAGACACACACACAATCACACTTATAATGGAAAAACACACACACACACATACACACACATATATATATATATAAAAGCATATGTACACACAGACATACATGTAAGGACCATAACCATGTGGACACTGCAACACGAAAATGACTGCAGAGTTCATCCACACAAAACCATGAAATGCATTTTTTCTTCTTCATGCATTCTCAATCATTCTCTTCCTCTCTCTCTCTCCCTCTCTCTCCCTCTCACACGCACACGCACACACAC